CTCCGATTGAGCGGCCCTCCGACCAGGGCTGCCCCGGGCGCCGCCATGCCCGAGCTCCTGGACTCAGCTCGGAGCCGCGTTCCGGCGGCGGCGCCGCAGAGCCACAGGCGGTCGGAAAGGAGGACGGCGAAGAAGAGCAGTGAGCCCAGCGACAAGCGCCATCTCTGCGCCCGCTCCGAGTCGGCGCACGGCTTCTCCGGCTGGCCCAGGCGGGCGGCTAGTGCGGCGGCCTCATGTTCTCGTGGCTGCATCCAAGCGCCGCTGGTCATATTTTTGGGGGGCGGCGCGGAGACGGGCCGGGGGGCGGCGGCGGCGGGGGCCCTCCGGGGCTCCGCCGCTCCTCCGGCCGCCCCCTCCACGAGCAGAATGTCACCTACCGCCGGTTCTGCCGCCGCCCATGCCTGGAGGGAAGGGGAGGGGCGGCCCCATGGCGGCTCCCCCTGCGGCCCGCGACCAGAGCCCGCCGGCCCCGCCCGCGCCTCCTCCACCGCCGCTGAGCCCCGCGCGGACGCCCCCAGCCTCCCCACGCGAGGCTGCTAAGGGCTGCCCAGGAGCCGCGCATGGTGCTGCGCCGCCGCGGCGCTTCTCAGCATGGCCAGCCCTGGCGGGAGGAGGCCGCGCCGCGCCGCCCCGGCATCCCCCCTCCTCCTCCCGGGCGTCCCGGCTGCTGGGTCCGGCGCTCCGGGCTCACCGTTTGGCCCGCTCCATCTTCCGTCCCTCCCCCCGCCTGCCTCGGCCCTCCCGCCCTCCCTGTGCAGCGGGCAGCCCTCACTCGCCTTTCCTCTTGCGCTTCAGGCCACTCCGGAGCGCCCGGGCGCGGCGGCCAGGCCCGTCCATCTCCCCCTCCCGCGCCCGCCGCCCGCCTTACTCAGTCGCCATCTTCAGCCGGGCAGGGAACACCTTGAGAAATCGATCGGGTCGGGAAGAGGGGGGCGGCCAGAGGTGGGGGCGCATGCGCGCTCCGCTCCGCACCCGGGGAACACTTCCTTCGCCCGGCGCCCCTGCCTTGGCCACAGCGCCCCCGAAGCCGCGGGCGCCATGCGGGACGGCGCGGGCGTCGCCTTCCCTCCGTCCGACCGGGCCCCTGGGAGCCCCAGAGCCCGGCGGCTCCCCCACCGCGGCTGCTCCTCCTTCTTCCCATGTCCCCGAGCGGCAGAGGAGCGCGGCTGCCCCGTGGTCTCCCCGGCAGAATGGGGGCCTGGCGGGCCGTGGTGCTGAAGGACAGCTCCGGAGCGTGGGAAGCGCCGCAGGGAAGCCGCCTGGGCTCAACGACTGAGAAACGCGGGGCGCCGCCCGGCTTCTTCGGGAGCGTTTAGCGGCGCGGAGCGAGTGGCGAGGCGCGGAGGGGACGTCCCGCGATAGATAGGAGGGGCGACCGCGACTGAGGCTGGAGAGCAGCCCACGAGGGTTGCGGCGCCTCCTAAGTCTCATTGGCTTCCTCCACGTTTTCCCGCCGCTGCGAGAGATGATTTGTGCGGAGACCTTAAGACAGCGCCCGAGGCGATGCGCCTTCTGGCTGCCGCCTCCCTCTTCCCACCGCTTCTACCCTCAGCAGTAGGCCGACCGCATCCCCCCTCCGTCGTTCCTCTCCAGGAAGAGCTCAACTAAGGCTAGAAAGCCTTGACAAATGAAAGAGATCCGAGAGCTTAAGTGGTTGTCCCTAAACCCAGCTGTAATGGCAATTTTCATTCCATCTTCAACCTGAAAGTCCTGGAGGAAACCGATCGGTAATCTCCTTATGTGTGCTTAAAGCGCACCAGCGTGCCTATCGTCCCTGTCCTTCTGTCTCCATTTACTTGTATTCATGTCCTTTGTTCATACTTATATCTGCTATCCTGTACATGTTTGACAAACTAATAAATAAATACGGATGGAAGACCAAAAAAAATCTACTCCATATTTCAGATGCATACATGCGGAGACATCACAGGTTTTTCTTTGGGATGACCTTTGGCGGAGCTGCAACCAGAGTAGAATTAAAAGAATTACAGATTAAAGGATTTGGAAGGGACCTTGAAGGTCTTCTAGTCCAACCCGCCTGCTTAAGCAAGAGACTCTATGCCATTCCAGACAAATGCCTGTCCAATCTCTTCTTATAATTCTCCAGTGGTGGAACACCCACAGCTTCTGGAGACAAATTGTTCCACTGGTTCATTGTTTTCACTTACAAAAAAAATTCTCCTTAATTCTAGGTTGGATCTCTCTTTGATAAGTTTCCACCTGTTACTTCTTGTTCTGTCCTCGGGTGCTTTGGAGGATAGGTTGACCCCCTCTTCTTTGTAATATTTTCTCAAGTATTTCCTTCCTTAGACTAGAGATACCCATATGCACAAGTGATCCACCTGGTCCTGTGATTTAAATTTATCTAGAGTGGATGGGTGTTCTCTTACAATTGTCCTGCCAATTTTGATTTATGTTCCTAAACTGTCTTTTATGGTGCTGCTTTTGGTATATTGGGCTATTTTCCCCCTTTTTGCATGAAGATAGATACAAAGAATGAATAGCAGTTCTGCTTTCTCCCTGCTGCCTGTCACCTCCTTGTCATTTTCTCCCAATATTGGATCAATCATTTCCTTGATTCTTTTTTTCCCCTCTTATTTTTTACGACCACCCTGATTTAGTGCAACCATCCTGATTCCTTGTTTAATCTCATCAATTTTTGGTACCATTTACCATGGTACCTTGCTGGATGAATGGTTTCTTGTCTTAATTGGAGAAATGTTTAAGTACCATCAAGACTAATTTAACTTTAACTTTAACTTTTAATAAATTTATATGCCGCCCAATCCCGTAGGACTCCAGGCGGCTTACAGAAAAAGTTAATATAAAGAGTTAAAAATAAGGAAACAATTTAAAAAGAAACAATTTAAAAAACAACACACCATACACTCAATCTGGGTGGGGCTGGACCTCATTCCTGGAGTCAACAGCCCCAGGCCTGCCGGAATAGCCAGGTTTTAGTGGCTTTACGGAAGGCCGAGAGAGTGGGGAGGGTCCAGATCTCTATGCGTAGGTCGTTCCACAGCGTTGGAGCAGCTACAGAGAAGGCCCTCCTCCGAAGAGCCGCCAGCCGGCATTGTCCGGTCGATGG